ACTCTGAGAAGATTTTTTTTTTAAATATGTATAAATGCAGCTCATTTCTCTGGCAATAAATTATCATATAAAAATTTAAATTTCAACCATCAAAATCATTTTTTTAGCAGCTGATTTATCTGGCAATGAATTATAATAAAAAATAAACAAGATTATTAACTCTAGATGGCTTTCTAGTACCTTTGTCTAAAACTTTTTTTTTTGTTGAAAATTGTCTAATATTTATCTCCATGACGTTCTCTTGTAATATAATACCCCCTAGGACACCTATAATAGCAACCTAATTAAGTACTCTCTCTCTCTCTCTCTCTCTCTCTCTCTCTCTCTCTCTCTCTCTCTCTCCGCGATATTAATCACATAATATAAATCTAAACGACATATCATATAAACATTTTTAAATTTATTACTTTATCCTTAAATTTATTAAAAATATTTCAGTTTTTTATTTACTATTTTATATCAAAATTAAAGTTTACTTATACAAATATCTTCAGAAAGAAATTAATATAAAAGTTTATTTATTTTTTAAATATTATTACATTTTTAATTTTCATTATTATCATTGCTTGGGCGGCACCTGACCGGCTGTATTAAAGATCGATAATGTGAAACGAGAGTATTAGCTTAAGTTTGTTATAACCAATATAGTATTAATTAACATCAATAAGACATAATTGAGTATAATACATTAATACCCCTACCCAGCTCACTTTGGTTTGTTGTACCAACTAAGAAGTCTTGAATTTTAATCTTGTTTATGTCAAATTTGAAATTCTTAGCATGTAACACTAATCTCAAATCAAATTCATTAATTTTTTAATTTGTTCATGATAAATATCACATTTTAATATTGTTTGACTATTAAAACTTTCTTGATTAAAAATTCTGATGTCTAAAAATAATAGTTTCTTAAAATAAAATTTAAATTAAGTGATTATTTAGTTTGATGATCTATGCTGTGTTACTTAAGAACATTCATTTATCATATTCTTTCAATCACATAACATAAATATTAGGGTTTATCATAATGTGCAATATCAATGGCTCTTTCCAAAAAGAAGAGGTTTAAAAGATTATTTGTATAAGATTTTGAAGATTCATTAGTGCTACTTGTCAATAACAAATTGCTTTTACTAAGAACGAAAAAATAGGTTATCATATTCCGATTCCGAGAATCTCATACTTTAAAAGTTGTGCAAGCTTCTCGTGCTTTGAACTTACATGATAGCATACTAATCTATGGAATTAAGAGAAAAGATTTTCTTTGAGACAGTTTTTTTATTACTTTCTAAAGTAGCTTTTTCAAACACAAATTTTTTATGGAAAAATTTTTTGTAAAAAAATTGCTTTTAAAACAGTAAGAAAGCTATCCCAAACAAAATATAAGCCTTAGCAGTTTAATCATAGGATTGACAGAATGGGCAGTGTACCTATGAACATTTCTTTAAGAAAGCTAATTAAAGCGTTAATTTTATAGCGTGCGTGCAGAAGCTTTTTAGTGCATCTTCATTTAAAACAAAACATATCTGATTTGCCTGAAATACTAAAATAGAAAATTTATGGAGCTCATGAAAGATATCTAAGTACTCAACAACCTCTCTCTCTCTCTCTCTCTCTCTCTCTCTCTCTCAATGCCTGCTCATCTTGGTGTTTGGAGATCGCTGGAGGAGGAAGGAACCCGATGTCATTGGTTCAAGATCTACTGCAGATTACACGGCGTCGTTCTCTTTGCTGAGGTTTAGTCAGCTTCTCATGTGAAGGCATATTGTGTCTCTCTCTCTCTCAGACTCTCCTCAATGTCTGATCACCCTAATGTTTGGAGATTGCTGTAGGAGGAAGGAAGCCAATGTGATTGGGTCAAGATCGACTGCAGAGGACACGACATCATTTCTCTTTGCCTTTCATGCGGATGCAGCCGCGGCAACGACTTTGGAGTTCCACCCAAAACAGAGCATCTCACCAGCAAGGATTGCTTGGTTGACTACTTTCACCGGACAGGTGAGAGATGGACGTCAACGGATTACACCGCAGAAGTTGGACTCCTCTGCCTTGCTTGCTTGCTCGCCCCCAAAACACCGCTCTTCAATCTCTCAACCGTTCGCCGCTTAAGCTCATTTCCTTCTTCGTGATTTATTGGTCGAAAATGATCTTTCGCCTTCGTTAAATCAATTCAAGTGACGGTTCGTTCGTGGTTTTGCCTATCGTTGATTTGGCTTTTGTCGTTTCGGCTGTGAACAATTTGCGGCTCAGACGGAGGCATAATCGGTCACTTATGTGGCTTTGACGATTTGGCATCTGCTTGAGAATTATGTAGTTTCGGAAGCGAATAGTAATCAGAGGCTTAATCGGGCGTTACTTAGTTTAAATGAAATTTATCATGCTAATTAAATTTATTGATAAATAAAACGTTCAACCAATTAAAAAAGAGCCGTGGATGATAATGGTGATTAATTAATACATTATCATAGATGAAAAGTAATAAATATAACATTATGTTAATTAATATAATATATTTGATATGAATAAAATCACAATTATTAATCAATTATAATAAAAAAATTGAAATGGAAGGTTGAGATTTAATTTGAATAATTAAAATAGAATATCAGGATGTGGTATGGAAGAAAATTCAAGTGACTTTTATAATTGAAGTATTAGATGAATGGAGTTTGAATGAAACCGACGGAACTTAAAAAGGTAAAATACGAACTATTTTACATAATTATGTTAAATGAAACCGACGGAGCATTAAAATTAATTTAGTATGAGATGTATTAAAGGAGCATTAAATAGTGGTATAATATAATTGTAATGGAGCTTTTAATTTTTAGGAATATGAAGTGTTTATAATGAACGTTGTAGATTAATTTATAATTTATAGATGAACGATCCAGATTTGCTATGGGTGGATTCCCAAGCCACACTTATATAGTAGTATAGATTGTAGATTAATTAATTTTTTGATTTATTAAATATTTTTAATAGAATGGACGGCCAAGATAATTAAAAAGTAAGTAGAATGGATGAACAAGATTTGCTGGAGTAAGGAAACTCAAGCCCCTTTTATAATAGTAGTATA